AGCTAGTAAGTTAGTATTGTAGTCAGTAATTTAGGTTCGATTTCATCGAATCATATAAGTTTTTTGGTAATAAATATTGGTTATCGTTTGGTGATCTGACAGGAACTAGGGACTTTGTATTTGATCTGAGGGAGGCCCATATCGATTGCGGGGCCACTTGCCCAAAGTGTCCACTGGGAAAGAGGGGTCTGCCTAACGCTTGTGCACCACCCTTTTAATAAAATATTACTAGAGAAAATTCCACGCGGACCAGGCAGCAGACGGGACTAGAACCCGCAACCTTCGCTATCCGAGCGAACGCACTGATCATTATGCTACCGTGTCGTGCCGTGCCGTGTCGAATTCTTACTAGCCTTTTTTAGGTCGGTGCGGGTTTATGGTGCGGGTTCAAGACCCGTCTGCTGCCTGGTCCGCGTGGATTTTTTTCTAGTAATATTTTCTTTAAATAACAACATCGAGCAGTTACATGCTTAAAAAAAATCCTTATAAAAAAGTAATCTCTGAAACTACTAAATCGATTCTGAAAAATCTTTCATCAGTGGAAAGGAAAGCTTCATGGATTAAGGCGCGTTAAAACAAACTTCACCCATACAAATTCGCGGCTGTTGCTATTAATTGTCATAAAGAAAATCCGTTACCCAATGTTGATCTCAAATCTCGCCTTACATTCGAAGTGGGAGATGATAAGCCCATGGATTACGTCATGGGCTCAATAAAAGTTCGTTATGTCGCCTGTTTATAGATAATATTACCGTGCCTGTTAGTTTAAACAGAGAGTGGATTGTCGCCGAAGTGATGAGCCGACGAATTGAGTTGCCGACGTACCTCTGATAACTTAACTTATGCGTAGGGTTGCCTTCGATGAAACTTATAAAACATTGACACTGTATTTTCTAAACAGTGTCAATGTTACAGTGTCATACAAAGTCGTGTCAACTTTAAACTAGAGATGGGATGAATGTGGTTTGAACCGAATCCGAATTTCGGCCGAACATTCGGTTAAAATGAAAAGTTCGGTCAAATTTCGGCCGAAGTTCGGTTCGATTTCGCGCGCTTTCTCGAGTGACCAGTCGTTACTTTTTTATTTACTTCATTTATTGCTAGATGTACCCCGCCCTCCCACCGCGTGGCCCGGAGTAGGCCGGGCCGGTCATTTGCAAATACGTCATCGGCTCATAAAAATAATTGTTTTAAGTGCATTGTCGAGGTTTTATGTAATAAGTTTTGTTACTGGCTTAATGCAAAAAATAGTGTAAGGAAAAAATGAAGTGTTTGGACATTTTATACAGAAATTGGTGTCTATTCTGACACGATTCTCTAAACCTAAACTTAAATTTGACAACAGCATATGTTTTTCATTCTCTATACGGAATGAAAGGGAGAGATTGATGTTAAATTTAGTTTTAAGTTTAGAGAAACACGCCAGAATCGACACCACTGACCAACTAAGTAAATTTAAATGTATCTTATATGATTCGCTGATATCTCGTGGTGGTAATGGATGTCCAGCGTCTACTTCTCCACTGAAAAACCACCTTCGTGTGAATCATAATCAAAGTTTGTTTAATTTGATTGTTGAAATAAATACCCTTTAATTGTAATAAGAAATACTTGATGTCAATGAATGTTTAGTTTGTGAACCAAAAACGTGATATTTTTATTCAATTTACGAATTGTAATCCAGATGTTTGTTAGATGTGTCTAATTGACATTTCGGACTCGCAAACTATTCGAATTCGATATTGGTTCGTGCTAGGGGTACCTACTGTATAGCGACTGGTCACCAGAGGGGATGCCCACTGAGGTATAATGTTATATTGCACTACGTAGTACATTATTCCAGTTGCTTAATTATTTATCTAAAGAAAATATTACTTGAAAAAAATCCACGCGGACCAGGCAGAACGGAACTCGAAACCGAACCATTTGCTATCCGGGCGAATGCACTGACCAATTATACTACCGCGGCCCTCATGGCCGTGTCGAATTCTTTCTAGCCTTCTTTAAGCTGCAAAGCAGCGCCATCTCTTCGCATTGTAGGGAACCCACAATGTCAAATGAATACCTTTACAAGTATTAAACATTGGAAAGAAGAAATAGCAATTATAGTTATAATTTTAATTTGTATCCAACCTTTTTTAAGTCACATTATAATTAAAAATTATTATTTTATGAAGGTATTGTCCATAGAAACATAATTATAAGAAACTAGCAAACCAGTGAACCAAATGTTCACCAAAAAAAAATAAATAAAAAAAAAATGTATTGAATTAATTGAGAACTTCGGAGATTTTGTGTGGTTTCGTTTGAAATAGAAATCACGTGATTTCTCGAAAACCGGAAGTGCTACGTTACTCACATCCGGTTTGTAGTCTTATCAGACTATTCTCAACTTATAACTTAAACATTCTCTTTATCTATCTCTTACGGTTTGGCCTCTGAAACAGCACCACGGACGGACGGACGGACGGACGGACTTGTCTAATAGATAAGAGATTAAATAAAGTATGTTGCAGTTAATTAAATTAGATTTAGCTTGTTTTGCGGGGTTGTCACGGCATACGTAAATGAACACGAGGCAACCCTATACGGAGACGGAGGTTAGAAGTGCTGGTGTGACGGAATTTCCTGGTTTCCGTTTTGAAATGATTTATTGGTAACGCTTATACAGTTTAGGGACGTGAACTAAATGACGGTAAACAATTAACAGACCTGAATATACACCTGAGTGAATGGATCTTTATTTAAAACATACTAAATACCTAGATTAAAAATTGTACGATAAATCATTAGACCTAATTAGGTAAACACTATGTCCAAAGGTTCGTTTTCAACATTATTACTCGAGAAACGAAAAATTTTCATAAGACGCCTTCCGTGTTAAAATTATTTTTTCACACAGAACTTTGAACAGTTGTTTTTCATTAATTTAATTTTAACAATTTTCTTCATTTTTAACACGCTTTTATTAGGTTCACTTCTATGTAACTATGTAATGGAATCTAAGAATCTGAATTATACAAACTTCTAATTCTTGTATCATTATGACACTTGGCAATTATATGTAGATGACATGACAATACAATATTAAAGTACCAAAGAGCTGGTCTGATGATGGAACTGGAAGGTGGCTGATGGAACCTTGGACTGTCTAGTAAACATATCGAGTTTGGGCTAATTAGATTCGCCTTAACATATTCTTTTCATTTCTCCTGACGACGAGGACTTGACGATGGACTGGAATATGGCTGATGGACCCTGGACTGCCTACTAGTAAACAAATCGAGTTTGGGCTCATGAGATTCGTCTCAACATAATAAAACTTTGCAATTATATGTAGATAAGGTGACAATGCAATATTTTGGTACTATCGAGCTAATCTGATGATGGGACTGGAAGGTGGCTGATGGAACCTTGGGCTGTCTACTAGTAAACATGTCGAGTTTGGGCTCATTAGATTTGCCTTAACATATTCTTTTAATTTCTCCTGATAACGAGGACTTGACGATGGACTGGAAGGTCGCTCGCTTCGCTCGTGATTTAAGTTTTAACACCCTCGCTACGCTCGGGAGTAAACCTCGAGTCCTTCGTTACGCTCGCGATTTAAATCGCCACCCGCGACAGAAGACACTGCTTTATCCCCTTGGTTAATAATCTACTATTAAACTCTAGTCATCCATTTGGATCATGCATAATTGTAATTTTAAATTTACAATTAATAGGCATTGCTTTGCCATAGCTAATAAAATTGCTAAATAAATAAATAAAAAAAAAAAACTAATTGAACTAGAGGAGCTCGATGGCGCGGGTGGTTAGCGCGTTCGGCTGTGATCGTTGCAGTTAAGCAACTTTCGCAGTGGTCGGTCATTAGATGGGTGACCCAAACTTCTATCTCGAGTTCTTCCGTGCTTTGGAAGGCACGTTAAGCCGTTGGTCCCGGCTGCACCTGCAGTTGTTAGCACCCGCCAATCCGCACTGAGCCCGCGTGGTGCGCCATGGCCAAATCTCCCTAATTCACCCAGAGGAAAGGCCTGTGTCCCAGCAGTGGGGTCATTATTGGGCTGATGATGATGATTCGGAACTTATAAGCCAGATAGAATAAAAAAATATTGGCTGATAAAGCAGTAAATCATAGTAAAAAAATACAAGTATAAGTACGTACTTACAACTCTTTTGAAGTGTACACCTCTACATTTTTTTTAAATGGGTACAAAAACTTCAAACGAAAATTATATGACAATATTTGCAAAATAATATAACCCCTCGGCTGTGTCATAAAATAATCCGGCTGATTTTCCTCTTATTATTCGAGTTCATTTATTCTTCATTTATGTCTTAAATCAATCCTGAATAGTTTCTGTACAAACTTATATATAAATTTGATGTGTACATTAAAAAACAATTACTAAATATGATCAAATGAAAAATATGAAAAATGAAAATAATGTTCTCAACTCGTGGCAGAAATCATCCACTTACACACACGAGGGGGGTGTTACTTATCATACCAACAAGTTCAGTACCTACTGAATGAATGGATGAAAATTAATGAATGATGAATGAATGAATATAAACTTTATTCAAAAGAAAACAAAGACCAGGCAGCAGACGGGACTCGAACCCGCACCCTTCGCAATCCGGGCGAATGCACTGACCAATTTCTATTTCTTCTTTCAAATTTTTAATACTTGTAAAAGTATTCATTTGACATTGTGGGTTACCTATAATGCGAAGAGATACGCTGCCTTGCAGCTTAAGAATGGCTAGAAGAATTTCGACGCGGTCCGTGAGGGCCGCGGTAGCATAATTGGTCAGTCCATTCGCCCGGATTGCGATGGGTTCTATTTTCTTTAGATTTGAACATCAAGCAGTTACATGCTTTAAAATAATAAAAAGTATAACTTTATTCAAGTTTACATCTAAAAAGTTCTTTTGAATCGTCCTTCAATTTATTTTCATCCCACCTTTGTATTTATTAATAAATAAATGTAATGTTACAGTTGGTGGTACGGCGTCGCGGCAGGAGAGGTGTTTACGCTCAGCGCTGCACCCCAGTGTCTCTAGATGCTTACAGCCTGGACAGCGTCAGCGTGGGCCACAGGAAAGGCAACCATAGGCTACGGGCTAGCAAGCGTAGCTACGGCAACCCGGCATATGATGACGAGGTAAGCGCGCTTTGAACGCTATTCGAGTCAAATCATTCGATCATTAGATCTCGATGGATGGGTGTTTTTACGTTCAGAGCTGCACCCCAGTGTCTCTGGACGCTTACAGCCTGGACAGCGTCAGTGTGGCCCATAGGAAAGGCAACCATAGACCACGGGCCAGCAAGCGGAGCTATGGTAACCTTATGATGATAAGTTGAGCGCACCTTGAACGCTATTGAAGTCAAATCAATCGAATATGAGATGTCGACGGATGGGTTTTTACGCTTAGTGTTGCACCCCAGTGTCTCTGGACGCTTACAGCCTGAACAGCGTCAGCTTGGGCCAAAAGAAAGGCAACCATAGACCACGGGCCAGCAATCGGAGCTATGGTAACCCGGCCTATGATGACGAGGTAAGCGCGCTTTGAACGCTATTGAAGTCAAATCATTCGATCATTAGATATCGATGGATGGGTGAAATCATTCTATCATTAGATCTCGATGGATGGTTGAAATCATTCGATCATTAGACCTCGATGGATGGCTAAGTTGTCTCAATAAAAGCGGGCTGTTATGTGCTAACTTGAAATGGCCAATGCCGCGAAAAAAAAATTTACACTATTCTACTAACTTCATCTATTTGTACTCATAAACAGTTAACTTCACAGATACTACTTATCGACGGCAGCGCGGCTGGTGGCTGAAAAATGAACTATAAGAGTGAGCGCAGACTATAGTCACAACAGTTGTTAGACAATCTAGTCTTACATAGACGAGACAGCTTTACAATTAAAAAGAAACAGTTGTGTCTACCACAAGGCGCACATCAAGATGAAACTGTTTTGTCTACGATGCGACACACACCATTTCATCAGTATCAGAATAGATTTCACCGATTATTTATTATATAGTAAACTAAGGCACCAGCCCAGAAAGTTGTACCAGTAATTTCGAATGAATGTATCCACCAATGTAATGTTATGGACTTATTTTATCGTAATTATACTTATACTTTCTTTCGGTATCGATTATCATCCCTAATCGCTAGACAATTTTGTCGTTGGTGTGCGCCCTCGCATACATTACAAAGGGAAGCGGACAGTCATTAGTCCGACTTGTCGCTTTGCAGTTCTTGTGTACATAAGAGGTTTTTGTCTATCAGACGTTTTGTTTCAAATGTGCGCAATTTCATAATTTTTGTTAAGCAATAGTCTGTCTTAAGTCTGTCGTGACTGTAATCTGCGCTCAGCCTAAATGCTACAAATTTTCAGGGACAGGCGGGCTAATGCTTAAGCACGTAGCGATCGTTCTCCTTCTCTGTAACCTCCATGATCCCGTGACCAATTGACATATTGACAGTCGTTAGGGTCCTAGTAACGGCCCCTACAGTACAAAATACGAAATTGTGCTTTTCTTAGCCTGTTTATTATTTAATTTTAAAAGGTGTTTCGTAAAGAACCCCTGGTGTTACGACTCAGCGGATATACATAAATAAGGCACTGAGAACTAAAATCGATTGCGTATTCGATACATCTTATATATAAAATGCTCGTGTCGCGGTGTTTGCGGTTAAACTCCTCCGAAACGGCTTTCCCGATTCTCATGAAATTTTGTGTGCATATTGGGTAGGTCTGAGAATCGGACAACATCTATTTTTCATCCCCTTAAATGTTAAAGGTAATCCACCCTTAATTTTTTTTTCATTATACACAAATACATACAACCCAAAATTTTCACCTTTCTACAACCACTCCCTATTTTTTTATGGCGGTACGAAGTTTGCTGGGATAGCTAGTATACATATAATAATAGTCGTATTAGTATTGTACTGATGTCTAATTGTAACAAAACAGTGTTCCAATGCTTTATAATTGAGAAATAATTTGTTAACCCCTAAACGCATATTCATATCGCTATATATAGGCAGGTACCTAATTGAAATTTGAACTTGTTTATTAACACACACCAATTAGGTTGCCCCAAAGTAAGCACTGTAAGTCTTTTGATAAGGGGAACTGGAGCAACGGATAGAAATACATAATAATTTATAAGTACAGTTTTTGTAGAATTTATATAAGCAGCCACGATTTAGGTACAAATATTCGTATTCATCAAACAGACATTTGCTCCACCGGAATTTGATCCTAGAACCACTGAGTCCCTTTTTAGACTGATGTATGCCACTCCACCACGCAGGTCGTCTTAAATTGACCAGAAATACTAAATCGTTTTCCTCATCTCCTTAATTCAGGTGACATCACATCCTATGCAGTACGCGGCGTTGGCTAACTTCGCAATGGACATTGAGTCTATGAGCGCTGAGTTCGCAGAGATTCCGTCAGTGACGGTTCGTCCGGACGAAGTGCCACCCGGCTGCGAGGACAAGAACCGCTACTCCAACGTCCTCCCGCTGCCCGAGACCAGAGTGCCGCTCAAGAGGATCGGAAACGACCCCGCTACCGAGTACATCAATGCCAACTACGTTACTGTGAGTGTTCAGCAATTTTGCTTGTGTCTGGAAGTTGTATTGACAAAGGAACGGCTAGTCTAAAATTCTCCCGCTGCCCGAGACCAGAGTGCCGCTCAAGAGGATTGGAAACGATTCCGCTACCGAGTACATTAGTGCCAATTACGTCACTGTGAGTTCTGAGCTATTTTGCTTGTCTTGGAGTTGTATTGACGAAGACGGCACTGCTAATCTAACCTCTTTCTGCTGCTAGAGACCAGATTGCCGCTCAACGGAATCTGAAACGACCCCTCTTCTGACTGAGTACATCAATGCAATCTACAACACTGTGAGTTTTGAGCAATTTTGCTTGTGTCAAGGAGTTGTATTGACGAAAACGACACTGCTAGTCTAACCTCTTTCCGCTGCTAGAGACCAGAGCGCCACTTTAGAGGATCGGAAACGATCCCACTACCGAGTACATCAATGCCAACTACGTTACCGTGAGTGTTCAGAAATTTTGTTTGTGTCTAGGAGTTGTATTGATGAAGACAGCACTGCTATTCTAACCTCCTCCCGCTGCCAGAGACCAGAGCGCCGCTCCAGAGAATCGGGAACGACCCCACTACCGAATACATCAATGCCAACTGTGAGTTTTAAGTAATTTGGTGTCTAGTAATTATAGGTACTGGCAACTTTTCACCAGCTAATACAATGTCTAGATACCAATCTAGGTATTATATTCGAAGACGGTACGGCTACTTTAACGTCCTCCCGATGCTAGAGACCAGAGTACCGCTCAAGAGAATTGGATACGGATACGGAATCGGCTCAGTGGTGGGCATCAACTGAGCATCAATGCCAACTACGTCACTGAGCTTTGAGAAATTGCTGGTATCTAGGAATTGATTTGAAGACAACGGGTTTGCTAGTCTAACGTGTTGGTTTTAAAGGAAACTAAAATGCTGTACAATAGGATCGGGAATGATGATATTGGGAAGGTTATTTTGTGCTTTGACAATCCTCTACGTAATATTATTTCTGTAGATATCCCTACAGCCCTACACCATTCAAAAGCGAACTTATGTTATGAGACACTTAATCTTCCATAACCAGAGCCTGTTTAAGGTTTTCCGATATTCATAGCCATATATTTTGTAGTTGACGTAAGTGTAGAACTTAAAAAGAAATCTAAATCATGTAATTATTTTACATGATTTTCAGCCATTCTTAACTCATTAAGTGTTTTGACAAAGGAGATAAAATGTTTTCTTTATAACTTTGCGTATAAATTGTTCCAGGGTCCTGGCAATATTCGCAACTATTACATCGCGTGTCAAGCGCCTCTTCCCAACACTGTGATAGATTTCTGGCGCATGATCTGGGAGCAGAACTCTAGGCTGATAGTGATGCTCACGGAGTACATGGAGAATGGCGTGGTAAGTCTCAGTCTTAGTATAAATAAAAGCATAATATCGCTACAGAAATGCTTCTAATTATATTAATTTAATTAACTGCTTATTGATTAATTTGATTTCTGACAAACTTTAGTTATCATTTACGTACTTTTAAGTGAAATTCACTAGAATATTCTTAGTCGGTGTTTGTTTTACAGAATTTACAACTATTTATACAATGTTACATAGCTTGTGGCCATCCTTAGAGGCAGCAAAACAGAACGTTACTTCGACAAGCATTCAATTCAATGGATATCTTTTAGAGCGAACGGTAGATTACAGACTCGGGATGTTATTTAATGTGAAAAAAACCCTAAAACATTTAGGACTTCTCCACAATGTTGAATAAGGCTAAACCAATGAAGACAAATTGTAAGGTCTCACAATTTTCATTTGATATTGCAGGAGAAATGTTACGAGTACCTACCGCCCTCCGAGGTTTCCGACAACAAGCGCACCTTCGGCGACTTCCAGATCATCCTCAAGAAGCGCGAGCAGCGCGACAAGTACGCCATCTCCAGCGTGCAGCTGATCAACCTGGCCACCAGGACTTGGAGGGAGGTCACCCAGCTCTGGTACTTCTGGCCGGCTAAGGGCGTGCCTGATGATTACGATTCGGTCATCGATTTCTTGTCCGAGATGAGGAGTTACATGAAAGTCTCGCAGACAGCCAAAGAATATGATGAAGATGGTATGTACCTATTTCTTTAAATGAACAAAGGGTTTTCGTTTTGATTAAGACTCATAAGGGTCTATTTTATTTATTTTTATTTGGGAAACAAACAATATTTTATTACGTTTCTTTCTTCTTTCTACAGGAAGGTTTCATAATAGGGGTGATGACGGGGTACAGTAAACGAAATTCTATTTAGTCCGTCAGTTAGATGATCAAAAAATAATGGATAAGTATTTTTTCTTTGGGCAATCAACCAAAAAATTACAAAGTTATAGCGCGTCAAAGTTTGGGAGTAGGGGCGGCTCGTGACGTCACTCTAGTGAATTTTCACTAAATAGTGTACTCAAACGTGACGTCAGGCGACTTTTCAAATGAATATATCTCTGCAATGTTTATATTATGTGAAAAAAGAAAAAAAAAACATGTCCAACACTTTTTGATAATCTACCTGATAAACGAAGAAAAAAAAATAGTCATCATCCCTATTCCACAGGGCACACAGAGTCATCGACTGTTCATTGTTTATAATACACGAGAGTTTATAATACACTTTCTACCTTTTAGTAAAACCTTTAAACGCAGGTGTGGAGGTGATATACGGCGACCAGAATCGGTCATCCTTCGGCAACCTGTCGAAGCTGCGTAGCGAAGAGGGCTCCGGGGGAGCGGGCGGGTACTCGCCGGCGCGCGCGGAGGCGGCACTGCGCCGCGCGCCCGCGCACAACGGCACTCTAGCTAGGATGAAGGCGGCTTCGGAACTTGAAGGTAGGATAGAGAAACAGGATTTTTTTAAACCCCGTCAATTATTTAGAACGTGAATAATTTAATCGTAACTCTCGCACTTCTTCAGTGAACCTTTATTTTTCAATTTAACAACTGTATATAATACAGGGAGAGAGAAGAACAGCCCTTGCTACTAAGCTAAGCTAAGCTAAGTTTCTTGCCGGTTCTTCTCAATACAAGGTCTCCCGCCGTAGATTTGCGAACCGATGGCGTATCTTTTAGACATTGACAAGTGCTTGTCACAGCCTAGACTGAATAAACGATATTGAATTTTAAATTTATTGAATTTTTAAACTCAAATTTAATGGAGTGTATCATTGTATGGAAAACAAAGTAAACCAACCAAAGACGAGTGATTTTGACGCTTTAGGGACATTCTTGTTAAATTTACATTTACATTACATGGAGTTCACACTGTATATATTTTTTGTAATGATAATATAAATGAATATGAACATGATTATGTGCAGGCGTGCGGCCATGCGTAGTAGTATGCGCTTCAGGCGCGGGTCGTTCCGCGGCACTGATCGCTGCCGACGTCAGCACGCGCGCGCTGGCCGCCGCCGCCGCCGACCTGCCGCGCGTCGTGCGCGAGCTGCGCGCCCAGCGGCCCCACGCGCTGGCTAACCGGCACCACTATATCTTCCTATACAAGGTGAGATCACTACGACTTCCTTTAGAAGGCGACTACACTGTAATACATTCGCGCGCTGGCCGCCGCCGCCGCCGACCTGCCGCGCGTCGTGCGCGAGCTGCGCGCCCAGCGGCCCCACGCGCTGGCTAACCGGCACCACTATATCTTCCTATACAAGGTGAGATCACTACGACTTCCTTTAGAAGGCGACTACACTGTAATACATTCGCGCGCTGGCCGCCGCCGCCGCCGACCTGCCGCGCGTCGTGCGCGAGCTGCGCGCCCAGCGGCCCCACGCGCTGGCTAACCGGCACCACTATATCTTCCTATACAAGGTGAGATCACTACGACTTCCTTTAGAAGGCGACTACACTGTAATACATTCGCGCGCTGGCCGCCGCCGCCGCCGACCTGCCGCGCGTCGTGCGCGAGCTGCGCGCCCAGCGGCCCCACGCGCTGGCTAACCGGCACCACTATATCTTCCTATACAAGGTGAGATCACTACGACTTCCTTTAGAAGGCGACTACACTGTAATACATTCGCGCGCTGGCCGCCGCCGCCGCCGACCTGCCGCGCGTCGTGCGCGAGCTGCGCGCCCAGCGGCCCCACGCGCTGGCTAACCGGCACCACTATATCTTCCTATACAAGGTGAGATCACTACGACTTCCTTTAGAAGGCGACTACACTGTAATACATTCGCGCGCTGGCCGCCGCCGCCGCCGACCTGCCGCGCGTCGTGCGCGAGCTGCGCGCCCAGCGGCCCCACGCGCTGGCTAACCGGCACCACTATATCTTCCTATACAAGGTGAGATCACTACGACTTCCTTTAGAAGGCGACTACACTGTAATACATTCGCGCGCTGGCCGCCGCCGCCGCCGACCTGCCGCGCGTCGTGCGCGAGCTGCGCGCCCAGCGGCCCCACGCGCTGGCTAACCGGCACCACTATATCTTCCTATACAAGGTGAGATCACTACGACTTCCTTTAGAAGGCGACTACACTGTAATACATTCGCGCGCTGGCCGCCGCCGCCGCCGACCTGCCGCGCGTCGTGCGCGAGCTGCGCGCCCAGCGGCCCCACGCGCTGGCTAACCGGCACCACTATATCTTCCTATACAAGGTGAGATCACTACGACTTCCTTTAGAAGGCGACTACACTGTAATACATTCGCGCGCTGGCCGCCGCCGCCGCCGACCTGCCGCGCGTCGTGCGCGAGCTGCGCGCCCAGCGGCCCCACGCGCTGGCTAACCGGCACCACTATATCTTCCTATACAAGGTGAGATCACTACGACTTCCTTTAGAAGGCGACTACACTGTAATACATTCGCGCGCTGGCCGCCGCCGCCGCCGACCTGCCGCGCGTCGTGCGCGAGCTGCGCGCCCAGCGGCCCCACGCGCTGGCTAACCGGCACCACTATATCTTCCTATACAAGGTGAGATCACTACGACTTCCTTTAGAAGGCGACTACACTGTAATACATTCGCGCGCTGGCCGCCGCCGCCGCCGACCTGCCGCGCGTCGTGCGCGAGCTGCGCGCCCAGCGGCCCCACGCGCTGGCTAACCGGCACCACTATATCTTCCTATACAAGGTTAGTACACTTAACCTTTCTCTAGAAGGTGAAACAACCGAAATTGCAGGAGAAATGTTACGAATACCTACCGCCCTCCGAGGTTTCCGACAGCGAGCGCATCTTCGGCGACTTCCTGATCATCCTCAAGAAGCGCGAGCAGCGCGACAAGTACGCCATCTCCAGCGTGCAGATGATCAACCGTGCCACCAGGACCTGGAGGGAGGTCACTCAGCTCTGGTACTTCTGGCCGGCCAAGGGTGTGCCTGTGCTTCTCTAGAAGGTGACATAACCGAGACTACTACATCTTCCTGTACAAGGTATGATCACTTAACCTTTCTCTAGAAGGTGACATAGCCGAGACTACTACATCTTCCTGTACAAGGTGAGATCACTTAACCTTTCTCTGGAAGGTGACATAACCGAGACTACTACATCTTCCTGTACAAGGTGAGATCACTTAACCTTTCTCTGGAAGGTGACATAGCCGAGACTACTACATCTTCCTGTACAAGGTGAGATCACTACAACTTCCTATAGAAGGCGACTACACTCTTATACATGCGCGTGCGTTTGCAACATTTTTCATTGATGCTTCGCTCCTACTGGTCATAGCGTGACGTTATTTATAAAGTCTATAGTCTTCCTCGATAAATGCACTATCCAACACAAAAAGGTTTGTTCAAGTCGGCAGAGGAATGGTGCATTGGGTAACACAGGTCCTAAACTACGCGACAAAAATTTCACTATCAGTTTAATACATTTTCATGGCAGGTTTATAATTATATAATGAAAGCCATGGTGTATTATACAAGCCTGAGAACAAAATCTATAGTATACACTACAGCTCTACACCGAAGCGAAGCGAGGGCGGGTCACTAGTCCTACATAAGGTGACACCACTAAATCTTCCATACAAGGTTCACCACACTCTACCCCACGCGCTCGTCAACAGACACCACTACGTCTTCCTATACTAGGTGACCACACTCGCGAACCGAATCATCATCATCATCAGTCTATTAATGTCCCCACTGCTGGGGCACAGGCCTTCCGTATGGATGGAATCCCTATTCCGGCCCGATTGGGCCATGACCCACCATGCGGGCCCAGTGCGGAAGAGTTCGAGATAGTAAATTTTTGGTCACCCATCCAATGACTGACCACTGCGAAAGTTGCTTAACTTCAACGATCGCAGCCGAACGCGCTTACCATCGAGCTCCTCCGAACCGAATATCTGGCTGAAATAAGAAGCAACATGCCGGCCGTCAAGGTGAGGATGGCTGGTGTGGCAGGTAGAACTGCTATACCAGCTATCTTGACGTCTGTACTACACCGTCACTTAACATCAGGTGGGGCGGAGTAATTTGTGTAGACCTATCTATAAAAACAAAATATAGAACCCGGAAGACGTAAGAAGAATTTAATCATATTGAGATGGTACTACTTAAAAAATACGTGTACATGTTATTATGATACTTATGTATGAAAAAAAACGATATATATGTATTTTTTTTAACAGTTGCTGAGTGAATACGGCAATAAACTCATGGGAGGTGGAGTGGACACAATCTAAAGATATCCCCATCTTAAAATCTCCGCCTATAGTGACTTATCTTCTATTTTCTTCTTTTTCGACAAAAAGAAAAGTAACATTGAAAACAAAGTTTTGTTACAAAAATGCAAGAACATTTCGGTGTACGAGGTTTTTTGAGACAATCAAAATTAAATGAATATTGGTAAATATTATAAAAGTGAAATTTATTCAAAAGGACACCTAAACTTTTTTGGACAATACCAAAGCATAATGTTACAAGATCTCTGAAGAACGTTTCGCTCAAAACATATATTTTATTTTTTTATTCATTGGATTTATTTTTGGAGATTATGTTATCATCGTGTATATTTTAGAGCGTTTCTATAATAGCTGTTGTTATTATTTTATATTATTTTTATGTGAATCAGTTTAATATACAATTAAATAATGTAAGTGTATATAGATGTAGGTTTTCTTTGAACAATTATTATTTTTATTATAGTGGTTCTCTGACTAGTCTTTAAAGCATAATAAACATATTATATGTTTGATCTTCTCAATCCTTTTTAGCAACAATTATAATACATTGGACAGTTTTATTAATATATTGATATTAAAGTGGAAGAATTTATTTTTGAAGAAAGCTCTTTTATTCCTATCAGGCGAAACAGGAACCATTTTGGTTTATTTTACGGCATTTGTATTTTGGAAAATTATTTTGATTAATTATTTATTGGTGTATAAGATGATAATCAAAATTAGTTATTTAAACATTTGCTTTTTATAAGTAATAAATTTGTTTCTTACGTGTTCACGCACACCACTCATTAAATAAAACAAGGTTCAACAGTATAGATGCACTGATGTATTTATTTATGACGTTTCGCATCCTTTCCGACGACGCGGCCTAAAAAGCCTAAAAAGCAGCTGCGTCGTCAGAAAGGCAGCCCTAAAAAGTTTTTAGGCTGCGTCGTCAGAAAGGATGCGAAACGTGATAAATAAATAAATCAGTGCACCTATACTGTTGAAACTTGTTTTATTTACATAATAAGTTATTAGAATACCTGGATTATACAGGTGTAAATAAGCATAAATCACATAAATAATTATATGTCATAAGGAGAACTAAAACTGTTTTTTCGGTTTAAAGTTATTGACAATCAAAGCGTTTAATATAGTATTCGGTATAAAGTGGGTGCTTTATTTTATAATTTAATAAAAATATTTTACTAAAGTTACTTTTACGATAATCTGTTATCATTTATTGTTAAAAAATATGGTAGGGACGGTGCAATTATCGCATATACTAGCAGCTAGAGAAAAAAATCGATAACTCGCCTTTTAAGATTTTTTTACCTAACGTATATTTTATTACGCTAAATTTTCAACTATCCTATACATAAAGTATTTAGATTTACACTAATTATATTGAGATCTGCTGTGATTTCTACTAACTTACTCTTAAGTTTATTAGTTATATGATGATGAGATTAGATCTTTAAGTGGCCTGCTTCCCTTATGTGTAAAATACGAAAAAAATACTCTAATTTTGTTTTAAATGTCAGTTATTTTATTTATATATTTATTTTAATGATAGTTATTTTACATTGTGCCCGGAGGTATTATGTCCCGTAATTGAATAAACCCTGTGTCTCCGTTCGTCACTTAGGCCCGTATTACAGAATGACAACTAAGTTTTGATCTTTACTTGAGTAAGTAAAGTTAGAAAGGGATATCGCTATGTGCTTTATATAGCGACATCCCTTTCTAACCATGCTCAAGACTAGATCAATCACTGAGAATCTTTCTATAATATGGGCCTTAGAATGTTCTAACACAAAACCTAATAAAAAATAGAAAATAAAATAAAGGAACAGTGTGTTCATTAATAATATTACATTGTTATGAGGTTTATGATGTAGTATACTTAAGTCATAGAAAGAAATTTTAAAATATTTTTTTTTGTGAAACAATTATTTCGAATATTATTCTAATACCAGTATTTTGTCTAAAAATGCAGTTACGGGGTTTCTATTTCAAAGTGACGTTTTACCTTGGTAGTTTCCATTTTAATTGTTTTATTTTTGCAATAAGTTATACGTTGTTATTCATAAGTACATACGATTCAATGCAGCTATATAAACATATTTTTATAATTATAACGAAAAGAAAGCATTTAATACATAATTAGATTTAATGAGCACTGTTTTATCCCACACGTATTTAGTTTTAATTTACAACATGACTTAGTATTAAGTGTGTATTATAAAAGGAGATAAAGCATAACTAATATGACCAAAAATAATCATGTACGATGGTGTCTTGAATTTATAACTATTAGAAATATATTTGGATAAAATAAATCTATTGTATAAAAGAAGCATTGATTTTTACTTTTAAACATTTTAATAGTCTTCGTCCCGTTTATTTATTTATTTAATCTTTATTAACATAAAACAGTAAATGGCGGACTTATTGCCATACGCATTCTCTACCAGTCAACCAGTAAAGGTGTAGGAGATGAAATGTTATGGCGATAAGATATGAGCTACCAAGTGAAGATCAATATAAAAAATAAAAACTATCTACCTACTACTTAACTATACTATAACAACAGTAAGTATAAAATATATATTATACCTACACATATATATCCATAAATATTTTTTTTTTAAATAAATAAATAAACGAACTTACACTTAATTAGTAAAAATAAAATGAATATGATAATCTGTACCCTTAGTACGAGTTTTACAATTACAGTTTTCGTGAGCTCGCTTTCGTACTAAGGGTACTGATTTTATTGTTTTCGTTTCAATACAAATAAACTGTGTTTAAATTCTATCATTAAATCATTTTTCGTCTTCTTAAATTTTAAGTATATTTGGTTACTTTTCTCCAAAATGGACATAGAAACATTATTTACAATTACGAAAACTATGATAGTTTTCGTGAGCTCAAATTCGTACTAGGCCCTGCCAGAATACCAGCGCTGTTATGGTGGGAATATTCGTTCCCACGATAACAGCATTAAGCTGAGGCAGGGTCCTGATTGGCCATTCTTCTTTCTCTTCTATGTTGGCCAATAAATACTTTTTCTTTCTTTCTTTCTTTCTTTCTACTAAGGGTACTGTAGATGACACAGAACACCTCTTTCTGTGTTCTGTGGTAGATGACTACCGATTAAGAGAAAAATTAGGTTGTCAGATAGTGTGCACGCACTAGTTTTTTTTAACTGTAATCTACTACGTGCACTGCGAATATTCAGTGGCAAAGCATTCCAAAGAAGTATAGCTGATATTTCACACTATTCAAAAAGCAAGTTAAATTAGCCTTACTAAATTTGCAAAGTTTGGGCATACGCACTAATTGTCGTTTTGGTGGAGGTTCTTCTGTCAGTACCTATTCAATCTTTTTGACATTTAAATTAAAATTTATATTTTATATTAATAATTACACATATTTATTTATTATTGACTACACAATTTTGTTTTTTTTTAATAAACATTGTAATATGATTTTATTTAATTTTCATGATTTGTCATAGTAAGATAAATATTAATTAAAAGTGATTCCTCGCAAAGCACTGTTTAATCCAAAGTGATCGGTAACATATTTAAAAATCTATATAATCTATATCAAAAAAATGAAATATTTGTGTAAATATTTAATCAATAGCAACATCTTATATTTCTTCATGGTAATCATTTTCATCATTCCCAATTTCATTATTATCTTTGCAAAATTCTGGTATCAGTTCAACATCACCATCTGATTCAACATCAGCAGACTCTGCTATGTCTTCCACTTCTACTAGATCCTGAATAAATTCGTCTTTTTCAGTATTATCTGCATTCTTCATTTCAGTTTCTTTTGTGTAGTCAACCGAACTGTTCTTTCTCTCGGGCGTTTCTGCTACTGCCTGCAGTGCATCTGGTTCATGCACTGAGTACGGGAAGAATTTTGGTAAATCTATGTAAGAGCCAGCTAGCGAACTGGATGATATATTCGTTAATATTTCTGGAAAGATAAGAATCTGCCGTTAAAAGAAATTCAAAAGCTTTCTTTAAAATTATTTGCTATTCGTGAAATTTTGATAAAATTTTAGACTACTTACTTCTTTTTGCTTCTTTTTCAGGTTTTTCATTCTGTAATTAATGGAAAATTTGCTTACTTTGTTTGATAGTTATGAAGAAAAAAATTTAAAAAGGACTTTTAGGAAGGGAATTAAAATAGAAAAACTCGACTAGTTCATTGCAGTTGAAATATAGAATATAAATAATATTAGATTTAGTTTAAAATTAAATTAAATAATTTATAATATTAGATTTAGTTAAAAATTCAATTAAATAATTTTTAAATATTAGATTTAGTTAAAAATTAAATTAAATAATGTTTCATGGCTCTTTCTTTTTTTGCCATCATGTGACACATCATTGTTTAGAACTCGTTGAGTAGGATATAAATATTATGTGTATTAATTTTTATTTTCATTAACAAAGATATGGGGGGCCGTCAAAGTTGTAATTTTTAGACTATTGTTGTTCCGGGGTTCATCTCAAAATCGAAACTATAAATAAATAATAAATAAATAGATAAATATTTCCAACACTCACACGAATTAGCCTAGCCCCAAAGTAAGCACTATAAGGCTTGTGTTATGGGATACTAGGGTAACGGATAGAATACATATACTGTACATATATGTTTTTTTTTTATACTAGAAACTAGGTAGGAGTGTGAAATTTTGGTAATAATGTCCCATATCCTGCTGTATTTAAACAACGAATATTGAAAACGCTGATTCATAATTAACTTTGTAAGTTGTGACGAAAGCAAACAAATGATTTTTCCTTTAGCGGTTTGTTTCACGGAACCCTACATGCAGGTGTCCGACTCGCACTTGTCTGGTGTTTTTATACTATTGGAGTGCTTTTTTTATTGAAGACTGTAGTGAAACAGTTTATTTTTCAATTAATTTCTAAAATTACAGGCACCGATCTATAATAAATAAATAAATAAATATTTCCAACACTCACACTTATGGGATGCTAGGGTAACGGATAGAATACATATACTGTAAATATATAGGGTGAAATTGAATGTTTTAATGAAACTTCGTGAGATTGTTGGGTTACGTGTATAGAGAATGCCTGATTTTTTTCGGATTTTTTTGAAGTATATTTTTTTCATGTATTTATTTATAATTTGTGTATTTTTATGTCCTTTTCTCCTTTTGAGTAGTTATTCATTTTAAAAAAACAAACTTACATATCCAGTGAAAAATAACTAATAAATAAGCACTTCTAAAAAATGGAAAAACATTAAAATTCCACCGCGGGTCAACGACCGACCGCGCCCGCCAGCCGTTGAGTGAGTAGGTACCTCTACACAGAGTTCAGCTGACTCCTTTGATTCCACAAAATACAATAAAGTCGTCTTAGATGCCTTTATTGAAATAATAAGCACAAATGTCATCTTCTCTTAAGCAGAGAAAAACTTTAAAAGTTAATAATAATTTTGTCACTATTAGTAATAGGCAAATGTTAAACAAAAAGAAATACTTATTGCAGTTCAATACTTGGGTCAGAATGAAATTTATAACCAGGTATTCAAAAGTACTTACGAGACCGATGTACCTATTAATTTTTTTCACTTTAACTTCCCGTATATATTTTGTAAACACAGTCAATCACCAAACCTACTTTCGTAAAGCCTTGTGGCTCTGCTGAGTATTCCGTGACACTACAATAACAACACACCATATCCAATTTCTTATATTGAGGCCACAGAACAAGAACTAATCAAGGCATTATTTGCAAATCTTCTCTTGTCACAAATTTATAAGATACGCACGCGCGGTGGATAAACTTGACACTGCGCTCGCTCACTGGCTCACTGCGCTTTGCACCGCGCATAGGTAGGTATTCAACCGATTCAACGGCGGGAGCGGTCATTGCTCCCGGCCGCTCGTCTTCTGTTTTTACGTTTTATTTAGTAGTGCTTATTAGTTGTTTTCTACTTACTCTGTATGCGTGTTTAAAAAGAATAATTATTTAGTACCCACAAGGAGGAAAGGACTTAAAATAAGTATAACAAAAAAAAACAAATTTTATTTTAAATCATTTTTAAAAAATCCGAAAAAATTCAGAGATACTCTAAATACGTAACCCAACAATCCCACGAAGTTTCATTAAAACATTCAATTTCACCCTGTATAAGTATATTTATATAGGAATACATATTAAACATCCATGACTGGAGTACAAATGCTCGTATTCATCACACAAACATCTGCCCCCACCGGGATTCGAACCCGGGACCTCTCGAGTCGGCGACACCATGAAACCCGGCGTACAAACCACTCGGCCACGGAGGTCGTCAAATATGCGTTTATCAAATTCTTTATGAACTATCATCGGACTGTGGACACGAACACGAAATAAGGCACCTCTATAGCATCACATCTTTTTACAGCATCAACTGTATTCACAATGAAACTTGACTTAGGCATAATATCAGCTGTGGTTAAGATTTCTAATGGGCCTTTGTATAAAAAAAGACAAGTAATTAATATCTTGATTTTTATTATCGAGTTCAGGTCGGAAAAGTTGATAGCTACAAATAAACTCAACCCTGAGATTCAACTTCAAATACATAATATTACTAATGTTCTTAGTATTCTAATTAAAGACAGACTTTGTTATCGAAGCGGAGGTTTCGAGTCGAAGATTTGTTCGACTGCTGCTCTGCGACCAGCATAGCCTCCAGTTCTGACAGTGAATCTTCTGTATTTTTATCGCGTGTCACTCCATAGACTCGATACGATGACTGGAAATAAGGTTATCTATACTTATAATAAATCTGTAGAGAGGTCAATTCTGTTCATGAAATATATTTTCAAAATAACTATCAGGGGGTGATTAGTGATCGATACTGATGCCAAAAATGCAATCAGTAAAATTTTTGTCTGTCTGTCTGTGTGTATGTTCCTTATAGAAACAAAAACTACTCGACGGATTTTAACGAAACTTGGTACAATTATTCTTCATACTCCTGGGCAGGTTATAGTATACTTTTCATCACGATACAATCAATAGCAGCAGAGTAGTGAAGGGAAATGTTGGGAAAACGGGAGAAGTTACTCCATTTTTTAAGCTTCCGTCGCGTGTGCAGCCTTAATGGTTAAAGTTACATAGAAATCATGTATGACGGAAATATTCTACATAAAATTGTCTAAAAAATATCCTGCAACAGCATATGTCTATCTTTTATGGTTGACTCACAATAACACGTGTAATTATATAAATAAAGTCATTGTTTATAGCACAAGCTTGAGAACAAAAACTATAGTTTACACTACAGCTCTACACCGAAGCGAAGCGAGGGCGGGCCACTAGTAGTTAATAAAGTAAACATTTTGTGGTAAGGACTCGAGATGTAATTCAAAGATGAAATGAATAAACACGCTGAAAATGACGAAGGTTTATAAGATTTTAATACATGTTTAGGATCTATGAATGACTCCCGCTTTCAAACAAACAAGTGGCTATAAGTTTGTAGATCATTTTCAGATTGGTTGAAGATATTAATGTCGCGGGTCTCCCAACGTTTATTCCCCATGTGAAACGAGCACAACTTTATAAACCTTATCTTAATTTTAATCACATTTAAAATTAAGTTAAAATAAAATATCACCTTTACATTGTCGACGGCACGCTTATATTCTTCAGCGGATACTTTGGTTTTACGAAGTATTTTCAAAGTATGCTTTGCTGCTAAGTCGACTTCATCCAAATCGCTCTCTGATGATGACTGAAATTATAGATTGTTGAATTATTATAATTCAATACATATCGTTTAAATTTGTATTTTGAAGGTTAGGTTAATTGAATGAATGAATGAATGATTTATTTATTTTCTCTCACAAAGTCACAAAGTAACATTATAATTAATTAAAGGGTATTGAATGACAAAACAGTAATAACAATGCAGTTCTTTGAGAGAGCTGGAGATTGTACTAGGTTACAAAACCTGTGTTACGACCCCCAGGCTCAAATCCTCTTAGAGATTCTTATGCATTACATGAATACTTTTTTTTTTTTTTCGTGTTCTACCCTAGATTATGGGCGATAGTACATATCAGTTAATGTTACATTGAATGTTACAGAACCTTAGTGAAAAAATTATAAGCAAAAGAAAAAGAAAGTTACCGCCATTTATCAGTAAATGCGGGTTACAGGATAACGCTTAAATGTCTATATATTTTAAATACTAGCAAGTGTGTGTTTGTGTGTGTGTGTGTGTGTGTGTGTATTTGCGTGTGCATTTGCGCGTAAGATAGCCTTACTATCTTAACAATATATGGAAGAATTATGGTTATTATGGTGGAGGCTTACCATCAGGAGGACTGTAAGCTTGTTTACCGCCTTATTTACTCAAAAGAAAAACATTATGTCTAATCGCTGGAGACAATATTTTTAGAGCCGGCCTATCGTCAACATCAACCTCCTCATCATCAGCTTGTTTGATGTCCGCACTGTTGGGACACGTGACTACGTGTGGGATAGGGAAATCAGTTTAAAACCCATCATGCGGTCTCAATACCAGAACCAATGGCTTAAACTGATTTCTGAGGCACTGTGGAGCTTAAGATCATCGTGATATTAAACTTTGGTGACCAACCCCATGACCGGCCACGGCGAAATTTTACACGATCGCAAACCGAACATGCTAATGCAGTGCCATTACGATTCTTTCCTATTGTCAACATGATTTCGAATATGCTATAATATGCATTTGCAACTAGCTAGATCCTGTTTCAAAGGTCAAAGTCGATGGCGTAAGGGCGCGCGGCAGATCACCAATGCGCTGGACCGATCAGATAAAAGCAGCATTTAACGGACCACTCCACAAGTGCACGAGGAAGGTAGCAGTGCGGGAGGAATAGCGGCATATTGTGAACCTACCTACCTTGATGAGACGACCACGACCATTCTGTCAAGAGTATAGCGCCGAAGAAGAATATCCTGTTTCACTTCCAGCCTACCATAGCAGGCATATTAAATTTAACTGTTACTATAATAGAACACTGTAAATCCTCTGTTTTTACTGGAGGAGCTCGATGGCGTTCGGTTTTCGATCGTGGAAGTTGAGCAAGATTTGCAATAGCTGTTCATTAGATGGCTGACCAAAAACTTACTATCTCGAGCTTCTCCGTGCTTCGGAAGGCACGTTAAGCCGTTGGACCCCGCTGCATCTGATATGGATATGGTGGGACATGTCATGGACCCATCTCTTTCAATACCGTCCATAAGGAAGGCTTGCGCTCTAGTGGTGGATGAATTAATAAGCTCATAATGATGATGGAACTGGTTTAACTGTACCTCGTAGTAGACGGTGTTGTTGACCAAGTATCGCTTGAACGCCTTGTGTAAGGCGTGCCTAACAGCATCCATTTGCTGTTCGTCTACACCCACTTGCTTTACCAGCCTTGACATCAAGTTGAACTTGCTGTCTGAATGACCATATATATGTAAGAAACAAGACAAGCAAAGAAAACTGGATGTCGGTATATTATGCAGTTAATAAAAGCATTTTATGGAAATTCGTTTTGTAGTACTAATAGCAATGTATCTTGATCCTAATAGACCATCATAGGAAATCTAGATTTCGTATTATGTAAAGTTTTTGAATATAAAATTTGATTAAGGTCAACCTGCAGCAATTTTGCTGAATCACGATTCAACTAAAATTACATTTAGCTCAAACAATAATGACAAAGTGACATTGGTTTCGATATTTTTATAAGGATTAAATCTAGTTTTAGCAAAGTTGCAAGAGGACATTAGTACTATGTTTATGTATAGTATTTACTCAAATGTGGGTTGCTTATACAATGAATATCAGATTTTTTTAAATTTTGTATTTACTGATAATCTGAGTTTCAATTTTATAAATTTCAAAATTAATAATAATTTTTAGTTCTTTCGTGTTCTGGCATTTGTCGTAATTGCACTATAGTTAGCTCTTATTTCTTGAGCTCTAGACCTACGTCATGCTATTCTCTTAACAGAAAAGGTCTCTGCAATATGGAAGTATTTTTTCCAGTTTAAAAACAATAAAAAAGAATAAAATATTTAATTAACTAACAATTATTTAGTCCGTATATTTAAACAGATATGGGCGAGGAAAGACAGACGTTTTTCGTTAGATCTCTTCAATACATTAGACTTACCAATGCCGCCATTAAAATACTCCATAACAATCTCCTTGACTTCTTTAGCTTTTTCCTCATCCATGTCCAAGTATCGTAGCTCATCTTCCAGTTCATTGTAGCAGGAGCTCATGCAAACTGTATCACATAGATGGCCAGCGATGGACAGATGCTCTCGCGATATCAACAGCACTGACAGGTAGTTGGTGATGAAATCTAACATGTTCGTTGGTTGCGCACGAAGAACCTTATCATTAAGACACATTTTACTAGAAATCCACTTGTTATCCGGGATAGTGGAATATGTTTCGAATAGGTTTCAGACTGGATACAAACCCATTCATCTCTGAAATCTGAATCGAGTGATTTTTTTTTCTAGTTTTTTTTAGATTTAGCCGTCATCACCATCAGCCTATTAATGTCCTCAATGCTGGAGCACATGCCTTCTCTATGGATGGAATAGGGAGATTCAGCCATGACCCACCACGCGGGTCCAATGCGGAATGGTGGGTGTCAACGACTGCAGATGCAGCCGGGACCAACGGCTTAATGTACATTACAAAGCACGGAGGAGCTCGAGATAGTAAATTTTTGGTCTTCCATTCTTAACAAGCATGGCTTAACTTAAACGCTCGCAGCCAAACGCGCTAACCGCTTGCAGCATCAAGCTCCTTAGATTTAAACATCTGGCAGTTTAATGCTTGAAATACCAAAATATAATACCTATATATATTATTATTTTGTTACAGCAGTTAGGCATGTTCATATATGTGTTCCCTCCTTGCTACAATCTGGGGTCCTTTAAGAGAGGCGTGAAGAAGCATTTTTGCAGGCTGGCAAGGTGAGGATGGTTTGTATGGTAGTTTATAACTGCTGTGCCAGCTTTCTTCGTGTTTGGACTTTTTCACCCCTTGACATCAGGTGGGGTAGAGTCATTTGCCAGCCTGGCTTATAAAAAAAAAAGTATTACTATAGGTAGCTCGATGGCGTAGTCTTTAACTTGTCTGATCTGTGATCTTGAAGCCACGTAAGTAATAGCGCTGCCACAAAATAGGTGATTTATTTCCACAATTTTAACTTAAGTTCCCGTGCTTCGGAAGGCAAATTAAGCAGTCAACTGCTCATCAATCCCGGCTGCATCTGCTTTCGTTTGTACCCACCAATCCGCATTTGGCAGCGTGGTAGATTATATAAACTGGGTGATGCTGTTTACCTTATGTATACTCCGACCAAAGAAATACAAAATATGTGATTGGCAAAGTAGTACTACTAAATGTACGCAAAGATAGTGTGAACCAAAAACATATCATCATCATCAACCCATGTTCGTCCACTGCTGGACATAGGTCTCCCCTAATGCACGCCACTGCTCCCGATTTTGTGCTACTCTCATCCAGCCCACTCCAGCCAGCCTACGAATATCATCATCCCATCTTGTCTCAGGGCGTCCTACACTACGTTTATCGAGTCGTGGTCGCCACTCAAGAGCTCTCCGGCTCCAAAGGCCATCAGTTCTGCGGCTAATAAAAAAAAACAAAAAGAAACATACAATAAAAACATATCTATAAATATAAAACTCAAAGGTGACTGACTGACATAGTAATCTATTAACGTACAGCCCAAACCACTGGACGGATCGGGCTGAAATTTGGCATGCCGGTAGATGTTATGACTTAGGCATCCGCTAAGAAAGGATTTTGATCAATTCTACCTCCGCTTCTAATTCTAGCTCTTCACCGACGCGAAGCGAGGGCGGGCCACTAGTCATTTGATAAAAAACAAATGTAATGTTGTATGCGTTACTACTACGAGCCAAAGGGTACGGCCAGAGTGCACTCAGATTCAGATTCAGATTTCGAAAACAAGCGCGAGAAAAAAACAGTGTAGTCTAAGCAGGTTGCCTGCTTTTCTCGCGCTTTGTTTTCTGAGTCTGAATCTGAATCTGAATCAGGAGTGCACTCTGGCCGTACCCTTCGACTACACTGTTTATTTCTCGCGCTTGTTTTCAGAATCTGAATCTGAGTGCACTCTGGCCGCACCCAAAGGCAGTAAATTGAAAGCACTAATAGGGATAAAGTACTCACTTCCCTTGAAATATCACTCATCAATTCCCTCAAGCCTTCAGGCAAGGCTAGTTTGCAGCTGTTATGTATTTGCTTTTGTAAAAGATCCTCCATTTTTAACTAAACACTTTCTCAAACTTTCTTTTCTGTATGACTATCAAGTTTATAAAATCTAGGATGCTCTGATTACAAATAATTATACATTTTCAGTCATGATCTATTTGTATGACTATCATGTTTATAAAATCTAGGATGCTCTGCTTTTGGAAGGTGACGTATTAAGTTAAAGAGATTGTAAACAAAAGCGTGTTAAAAATCGTTTGTATAATGAGAACTTGATCTTATGCTTCATATTTTTTTCACTTCTTTATAAAGATCAGTACTGGAGACCTAATTTTAATTAATTGTGATTGGGTTAGACCTATGCCGTAGCACGGAATATATAAGTGAGCATTTCACGGCCATAGCTGGGGGGGTATATTTGCCTTACCTTAAAATTAAAATGACCCTCTGTTAAAAATGAATCGCCTGGAAAATACAATTAGTAACCTCAAGGGTAGGTTTGGTAACAAATTATATTTTTTGGGGATCAATTACTATTTTTTGACGATCATTTAAACAATATTTTTATACATATTAAAAATGTTATATGTAGTTATATTTTTTAGTTTTTAAGCATGCAACTGCTTGGTGTTTAAATTTAAAGAAAATATAACTAGAAAAAACATCCACGCGAACCAGGCAACAGACGGGACTCGAACACGCACCCTTGGCTATCCGGCGAATGCACTGACCAATTATGCTACCGCGGCCCTGACAGCCGCGTCAAATTTCTTCTAGCCATTCTTAAGCTGCAAGGCAGTGTTATCTCTTCGCATTGTAGGTAAGTAATTATATGTAACTAGTGGCCCGCCCTCTCTTTGCTTCGGTGTAGAGCTGTAGTGTGGACTATAGTTTTTGTTCAAAGGCTTGTATTATACACAATGACCTTCTTCACAATAATTATAAACCTTCCATTCCAAGTAAAAAATTCGTTGCGTAGTTTAGGACCCGTTGTACCGAATGCAACATTGCCACAGAATATATACACTGCTCTGTTGTTCCGAATTTAAAAATTATTTTAGTATTGGACAGTGCATTTATCGAGGAAGGCTATAGGCTATAGTAGCAGCGGAGCATCGATGAAAAATGTTGCAAAAACGGGTAAAAATATTCCATTTGTGGCATTCCGTTGCGTGCGCTGGGTAAACGGTTAAAGTTACACAAAAGTCATGTATGACGGAATTCTTTCATCTTTAAAAGTTCTGTAAATAAGCCCACGACAGCCTATGTCTTAAGTTTGACTCACTATAAACCTTTTTCTTTAAATTAACGCGGGTAAAACCGCAGGGGACCTCTAGTTGTGACATAACTGTAGTAGTTAGACATATGGTATCGCGGACTATTTTGTAGATATTGGTATCGTCTATAAAACTTTAGTACATCACTTTGCTCTATTGTCAAAGACTTCCGCAGCGTACGCGATATAAGGCTATTTTTTTGGTATTTTTTACATAGGTTGGGTTACACTATCGAAGTTTTCATAAGGAACCCTATTTTTTTTTGAAAATACACTATAGCCTATATTAATCAGTAATAATGTAGCAATCAAATGGTAAAAGAATTTTTAAAATCGGTCCAGTACTTTTTGAGCCAATTCGTTACAAACATACTTACATACAAACCTTTCCTCTTTATAATTTTAGTATAGATAATAATAAATGTTGCAAGTTTAAGAGAATACCGACAAAAACGTTTATTAAGAACTTCATCATCAATTCTTATAATGAGATAATTAGAACGATAGTAATATCATAAGAGAATTCATATAAAGTCGAATTTCCGAATAAATATTAAAACTGAATAGTTTTGAAACAAGATCATTTAATAAAGATAAACTAAAGTCTTGTAATCGAATTTATGGATTTAATAATACCGAGCGGCGAGCGTAGCAAACTAGAAAATTTCAATGGCAATCAAAAGTATAGTGAAGAAATATCTATTAATATTTTTCTTCATCGATGTTTAAACCAATCTCGGTAACCCACGACTAATTTTACTTCGTTGATGCTGTTTTCGATCTGGGGCGATATGTTATGGACAATTCAAATTGCTATCACGCTATTGTTGATAATGCAATGCACAGAGCATTTTTTGAAACAATTATTATTAGGTAAATCTATCATATTTATTAGTCTTCTTCTTCATCGCCGGTGGCGTCCAGTGGATCAGCAGCATCCTCCACATCCGTATTGTCAGCTGTAGCCGGTGTTGATGATGGAACAGAAGCTGTTGGTGCACTTGCACTGTCTTCAAGTTCAGATTGGGCATCTATGTTATGGAAAAAATCATTATGCTTAAACAATACATTTTCAGCCATGATCTATTTGTGTATAGAATAATAATGATTCCAAATTTTCATTAATAATAATAATAAATAAATATTTCCAACACTCACACCAATTAGCCCAGCAAAGTAAGCACCCCAATACAAGGGTAACGGATAGAATACATATACTGTACATCTTAATATATAAAAATCTCGTGTCACAATGTTTGTCCTCAATGGACTCCTAAACCACTGAACCGATTATAATAAAATTCGCACACCATGTGCAGTTCGATCCAACTTGAGAGATAGGATAGTTTAAATCTCAAATTATAGTCGCAATTTTAATTTATATCAAATTATTACTTTTGGGCGGTACGAAGTTCGCCGAGTCAGCTAGTATACAAGTATATTTATATAGAAATACATATTAAACATCCATGACTGGAGTACAAATACTCGTGTTCATCACACAAACATCTGCACCCACCGGGATTCGAACCCGGGACCTCTCGAGTCGGCTACACCATGGAACCCGGCGTACAAACCACTCGGCCACGGAGGTTGTCATTGTCTATGAAGTTGTTGGTTGTATTTCTACTCTTAATCTGAAGTAATACCTGCAATGGAAGCAAAGTAGCATGTTAAACATAGGTACCTGTAGGCAATTCTTCCGGCACTTCATGTACTTGTTCTGTTTCAATAACTTCAGCTACCAGTTCAGCACCAGGGTCTTCTTGATCTTCAGCAATAGTTGCTTGTGCTGGTTGCGTGTCATCGATTTCATATTCAAAGACATCTGGAATAACTTCAGGAGGCGCCTAAGTATAAAAAAACACAATTTTAAAATTGCTTACTGTTAAATAGCAATACGAGGAGCTCGATGGCGCAAGTGGTTAGCGCGTTCGGCTGCGATCGTTGAAGTTAAGCAACTTTCGCAGTGGTCGGTCATTGGATGGGTGACCAAAAATCTTCTATCTCGAGTTCCTCCATGCGTCGGAAGGCACGTTAAGCCATTGGTCCCGGCTGTATCTGCAGTCGTTAGCACCCGCCAATTCGCACTGGGCCCGCGTGGTGGGTCATGGCCCAATCTCCCTATTCCATCCATAGGAAAGGCCTGTGCCTCAGCAGTGGGGACATTAATAGGCTGATGATGAGATGATAATACATTTGATAGTTGTTTATACTAGTTTACGCTCTACCTTAAAATAATTATGTATTTTTGCCCTTTTGGGTGTCATCCTTTGTTAATTATAGATAATACTAGCGGACCCGACAGACGTTGTCCTGTCTAGTATGGTAGCGCCGTCTGTCGGATCCAATGTAAAACATTCCAAAATCAACAACTACTAATAAATTAAAAATTAATTAAAAAAACATTGTCCAGCGGACAAAATTGTGAATCTAAACCATTCTCAGATCCCCTTGAACACACACAAAAAATTTCATCAAAATCGGTCCAGTCGTTTAAGAGAAGTTCAGTGACATACACACTCACAGAAGAATTATATATATAAAGATATTTGATTTAATATCTTATTCACTATTGCATGAGTGAACATGAGATTTATAGATTTAAAGTTATGATAAGCACATGCCTCGAGAAAAGATATCTTCTGCATGGAGTATCCTGTTGAATGGACGGAAGCGATGCTTGCGTTGTGGCTTTGACCCATGGACTCTCTGCTCAACTGACGGCTTTGACGAGCACCTGACCAAGAAGTGCTTCTTAAACACACGGGTAAAAGAAATTTTTACTAGCAAAAATCCATTCGGTCTAGTCAGTAGATGGGATTCGAACTTGCACCTTCCACCGGGCGGATGAATTGACCAAGTGGCATAATTGGTAAATGGTAACGGGACTCGAACCCGCACCTTCAACTATCTGGGCAGATGCACTGATCAAGTGGCGTGGCAAGTTATTGGTGGAAGACTGCCTAGACCGCATGAAATCTTATCCAGTAAAATTTTCTTTAAAGTAATAATTCATGTAGCAGTTAAATGCTTAAAATAAGAATATGATAAACATGAACTTATGCTATAAAACTCAAAAGGTTCACCCGTAGCATTTATTTGCACTAAGTGCAACTTGTATAGAGAATGAAGTAACTTAAAACCTATAGAAAGTAGAAAATGTTGTCAACGGCGAAGGGTCGAATTGCTATTTATCCGTATTTTGACAAAAGATTGACTAAAATTTTATTTATTTTTAATTTTTTTAATTGGCGTGTGTTGGGTTTTTTTGTTATTTTACTGAGGTGGCTATTAATATCCAACATCGAAAGTGTATAGAGACATAGTACGCAACATGTACGATGACGATAAAAACTAAACTAAACTACAAATAGTAGACTAAAGTTGAACCTGAAATGAAACTGATGATGTCGCTTTTGTGTTTTGATTAAAAGAAAACTGAGACAGCATAAGGTTTAAATCAGGACTAAGTTAGTAGTACACGTTTGGAATAAGGCGGAATTAGTTTTCTACAAGTGAATCCACAACAGCAAATCGTTTTCTAATTTTTTACATAACTAGTGGCCCGCCCTCGCTTCGCTTCGGGGTAGAATTGATCAAAATCCTTTCTTAGCGGATGCCTACGTCATAACATCTACCTGCATGCCAAATTTCAGCCCGATCCGTCCAGTGGTTTGGGCTGTGCGTTGATAGATCACTATGTCAGTTTGAGTCACCTTTGAGTTTTATATACATATACTAGCTGACCCAGCGAACTTCGTACCGCCCTAAAAACATAGGGGTTGTCCAGCGGACAAAATTGTGAATCTAAACCATTCCCAGATCCCCTTGAACACACACAAAAAATTTCATCAAAATCGGTCCTGTCGTTTAAGAGAAGTTCAGTGACATACACACTCACAGAAGAATTATATATATAAAGATAGATAGGGGTACTTTGTTAACTTATTTATGGGTATTCAGTAGAGATCCAATGACTATTGCTGGCAATGACTATTGATATTAGTAAAAATCATTTTGTTATTATATATATTATTGTTTTACTTTCTGTTACACTTTTGGGGTATCGACGACCGTCTCCAATGTCATCCACCTGACTCTGCCTGGTCTTGCCATCGGTCAAGGTCTTCGTCGATAATGGCACCTTTCAATAATATAGAAATTTAACTGTAAAAAAAAACTTTTAAATTCAATGCTATTGAAAATGCGATATGACTAAATTACAAGGAATTCACTAAAAGTGCTTAAACAGTTTAAGTGTTATGTGTGTTATGATTGTGATTTATTATGATTGAAATACTAACACAGTATTTTCAAAATCTTCTAGGGTTTTCTTAAAGGAATAGGGAGACAAATAATCATATTATGACCCGCCTGATGTTAGCAGCCACTATAAATAATAGCCTATAGATGCTTTCGATACTAGAGTATCACTTGTGTGTTGCATTTTCTGACCCTATCCCTTCTGTTATGACCTCACCCCAAGTCTTATCATAGGAATACAACACGGTTAACTTCTTGAGAATCGAACATAGACAAGGAAGCCTACCAATTTTAAATACAAAAAAGTCTACTGAGCAATTTACTTGTCTTTGGTATTGCTCAAGAAGTTTGCCGTTACCGATACTGTAGGAGTTTAAAAGCACGAAACTATGGAATATATTATCTGCAGTGTTTCCGTACCAATACGACCCAAAAACCTTCAAAATAAGAGCATTCTTATGGATCAATTAGGCCGGCATCGCATTTGAAAGAAAAAACATTTATTGGCTTAAAAATCACAAGTAGGTAAAAATAAGATAACATGTATAACGATTAAAATAAAAACGAACAAACAAAAACAACATGGAGAGAGAAGAAAGGCCAATCAGGAGCCTGCCTCAGCTTAATACTGTTACAATGGGACGGGAATATTCCCATCGTAACAGCGCTGGTATTCTGGCAGGGTCTGTACGAGATTGTAGAGTACAGAACCTTTTTTTGTTTTTTTGTGTCTGGAAAATGCCTTACGCATCTTTCAACCACTGGGGGAGCGAGAAGAAGGTATGTGGGACTCCTCCCTGTCCTCTTCAGCCAGCCCTGGAGCTCGCTGATGTGAACAGGGCCACTAAAAACCAGACAATACTCCTGCACCGTCACCCGACACGCACTATGAGGACCGCGGTCCCCCTAGTGCATGCCGAGAGGGCGGGAGTGGTCGCGGAACCCGTCTCCGAATGGCCGCGCATAGAGTACAGAATCTAAAATTACTAAATAGTATTAAAATACATTTGTGATACTCCTGGTGTTGCAGATATCCATAGGCGATAGTGTATCACTTACAATCAGGAGAGCCGGCAGCTCGTATGCCCCCTATAATATAAAAAAAAAACTGTCTTTTAATAGGAAGTCAAGTCTTGAGAGTTTAATGTCCATACACTAGGCGTTTTAATATCTCCGGCACGCATCAGGGGGACCTCGGTTCTCATAGTGTGGGCTGGTGTCGGTGCAGGAGTATTATCTAGATTTTACTGGGAAGGGCCCTGATCATTGATCATTGAGCATCATTGAGTTACCTTCAGATTCTATTCGCGCTATTCCCTGTGGTTAAAGGAGGCATATCGCCTTTTCCAGATATATAAAAAAGGGGTTATCATAACAAATTTACTGGTTTTACCTGGCCGAGCATTCTGCTGGATCGTGGTGCAGTAGGATTCTCATAGAGATGCTCCACGTCTTCCACGTGAGTGATGGTTTTCATCGGGTCATAGTGAAGCCCCAATTTCTGACTGGTGTACTCGTCAAACATAGCGTTGACATCGTCTTCGTGAATATTCACATCCTAGAGAACATAATGAAACATAAATCGAATAGAAAGTAACTAACATTTCTTCTGCCTTCACAAGTGCTCCTGAATAAGTTTCTTGATCAGGTTTAGTTGCGGTATACTCATATTAGATTTTTTATATATTTCACGGTTTCTGTGACTGGAAAGCGGCTTCCTTACCGAATCGTTTAGTTTTCGTTTCTGCACCGAATCTGTACAGATTCTTTAATGAGAACCACATTTTGACCTGCTCGGTTTTGGTACGGTTTCGTTTCTTACCTTTTGTTTGCTACGGTGTTCGCCATTGTCATTCTGCCGTCACATTTCCGGGCGGGTCGAAAGGTCGGTAGCACTCCGTACAGAGAGTTGTATACACTCGGTAAAGAATTTGTACCGAAACTACTCAGCGAGAAGGCTCTTCTTTAATAGCAAGCACTTGGTAAAGAATCCGTACAGATTCGGTACAGAAACAAAAACGAAACGAGCACGCGTCGATCCAGTGAGGAAGAATGAACAAGAATCAAGAAAAGTCGTGAGTCTTATAAAAAATACAGTCTACTACACAATTGTATCTAGGCTTGCCAGATAGCCGGGACATCCAGGATTGTCCCGGAATTTTGCGTCTTGTCCCGTGTCCAGTAATATATAAATAATATATATAGATAATGTGCTAGTTTCCAACAAAATAAACTAATAACGAATGACACCGCTGGCCTGTTCGGTGTTTTAATTCTGGGCGGTGATTTGATGCTTTATTTTTTCAGGGGGGGGGGGGGGGACGCAAATGTCCCGGAATTGATAAGCCAGCATCATTCAACCCTAATTGTATCACTCGTGCGTTACCTATTATCACCCCATTTCTTACCATTGGAACTCTGGAATCCTTACTTACCAATAAAAATACAACACCCCGGAAAGTTGCTATTATTTCATTGAGGTCTTCTGTAATGTGGAGATTATCTTTACAGACGGGTGCTTCAAGTTCTCTTACACTTAGTTGCAGTTTATTATTACAAAGATTACTCACTATGACAGGCCCAAGTTCTATTTCTCTGGAGCCAGCAATATCCACAGGTGGTCCAATATTGTCTACTTTCGGTCTGTTCTTTTGGGGTTTGGGTTTGAGATGATTTAATAAATTCCTACGGATGTAATATCCTCTGTAAGCTGCCTGAAAAATATGCTGAGTTGTTATCTTAGAAATTATTACTACACTACCGAAGAACGACGTGACCGGTTAGATGTGCCCCTGAGTGTAATTTCATTTCAAAAGTACCAAGCGTGTTTAATTTTTTTATGTTAAAAAATGGTATTGTTATTTTGAGCTGATACCTGGATTTTCACTGTAGCTCTTGTCAATTCTCCGAATGAAGGTTTTGTCCTTTTATAGAGTTCTAAAGTATGCTGGGCAGCTATCTCCCAGGGTTCATCTGGTTCCACTTTCATACTCTGATGTTTAAAAAGATCATTTAATACGAGGGAATTATTTGTGTTCGGAATTAAAATGTATTCAGATAACAAATTTTATTCAGTACGTGATCATCTGATAAAAGATAACTTAATCAATTGGCATGAATTACCTTCTCCAATAACTCTTTTCTATACCAATAATCTCTGTATGCGTTTCTAGCCACCTGGCAGACGCGCGCCATCATGTCTTCATCTAGGACAACCTTGTTCAGTGCCTTCTTCACAATTTGTGCTTCTCTTAATTTTTCTGTTACATGTTAATTACCTTTTTTAACAGTTCCATAAAACAAGAGCGATATTTAACTTTATATAACAGTACCCTTAGCACGAAAAATATGGTCTTCTAATATTTTGCGAGTGCGAAATGTCATTGTCAAATGTGTACTGTACCCCTAGAATAGCACGAAACAATATCGAATTCGAATAGTTTGCGAGTGCGAAATGTCATTTTCAAATTTTGTATGTAAACTTGAACAGCAGAGCCACAACGGACGTAACGAGAACTAAAGTACACATTTGACGATCAAATTTCGCACTTGCGAACTATTCGAATTCGATATTGGTTGTAGCTAAGGGTACTGATTTTTCGTTCTCGTTGCGTCTGTTGTTGCGTTGCTGTTCAAATTTCCGAACAAAATGTGACACTGACATTTCGCACTCGCAAACTATTCGAATTCGATCTAGATAAACGTCAAATGTGTACTGATTTTTAGTTCTCGTTATGCTCGTTTTGGCGCTACTGTCCAAGTTTCCATACAAAATTTGACGATATTGGTTCGTGCTAAGGGTACAGTGTTATAGATTTTACAATTATTCGTTAAAATACGTAGATAAAGTTCCATTCCTACTAATTCAAATTATCAAATAATTTTAATTTCATCTTCAAGCTTTCCTTAAAATTGAATTGATTTTCGACCCTAACCTTTTCCGGGTCCATGTTCGAATCCTTCTATCTCTTCTTTGATAACCTGTGCCAGTTCTTCTGCCTGCTGCCTCTCAATACCCAGCTGCATCAAATGTTCTGACACAGTGGGCTTGCAGTCGCATAGATCCTCCAATATCTTCATGGCTAATACACCGTGTTCTCTTGTGATCAGTAGTACAGATAGATAGTTTGCTATGAAATCGAATATATTCTCCGGCTGTTCTCGTAGAACCTGATATTTTCAAAAATGATGATAGAAGTGCATCTAATATATAAAATCCTCGTGTCACAGTGTTTGTAAGAAAACTGATTTGAAACGGCTTGAACGATTCATATGAAATTTAGTGTGTTTTTTAATAAGTTTACGATAAGTGTAGGTAAGTGATAAGATTGGTCCACCCCACTTTTTGTGGACCACATTTTTTTGTGATTCGACATTGAAAATACATACAACCCTAATTTTCCACCCTTCTACCGTCCCCTATTTTTATGGCGAAACGAAGGTCGCTAGGTCAGCTGGTAATTTACAAAATTTACGAAATGTTTTCAATATCGTATTTTCGTAGGAGTTATAGCTCCTCGTTTGTATAAAGACTAGTTATGACAGGAATCTGGGGAGATATTAAACTAGACTCTTTATTTTTGACTAATTACCAATGACCATGAAAGGAGTCATCATCATCGTCAGCCTATTAATGTCCCACTGCTGGGGCAGAGGCCTTCCCTATGGATGGAAAAGGAAGATTAAGCCATGACCACCACACGGGCCCAGTGCGGATTGGCACGTTAGTACCCTAACGACTGCAGATGCAGCCGGGACCAACGGCTTAACGTGCCTTCCGAAGCACGGAGGAGCTCGGGATAGAAGATCTTTGGTCACCCATCCAATGACCGACCATTGCGAAAGTTGTAACTTCAACGATCGCAGCCGAAAGCGCTAACCACTTGCACCATCGAAATCCTCACGATGAAACGAGTATAAGATACTTATGTTACGTTTTGAGTTGCAAATGTCGCGTGGTTAGAATTCCGGCTAATATTGATTACAGCATCATACTTTGACAATGAGACTCAGGTATAGAAAAACATTTCTCCTATTACTGGAAATAGAGTTAGATCGTAATATTTTGATTAATTATTTTGATTAACATTCAAACGTTATTCCCGCACGAACAAAGAATTCCCCTTTTAAACCTTATTCCTACACGAACAAAGAAATTTGGTAACTCATTTCTTTGTCGTACTATTCGCAAGTAGAATTCTTTGCCCGCGCACGTGCAAGGAGGGAGGGACTTCCTACAATCTCCTTTAAGAGAGGCGTGAAGAAGCATTTTTGCTAGCCGGCAAGGTGAAGATGGTTGGTGTGGCAGTTTATAACTGCTGTACCAGCTATCTTCACGTTTGGACTCTATTACCATTTAAAATCAGGTGGGGTAGATTCGTTAACCTATCTGGCTATAAAAAAACAGCCAGATTACAGATGCATCCGTTAGCATCCCACCAATCCGTACTGAGCCCACGGGGTGGGTCACGGCCCTGTCTCTCTATTCCATCCATAGTGAAGTCCTGTGACTTTGCAGTAGCATTAACAGGCTGATGATGATAATGAGTTTTGTTTACTTCTCGACTTATATCGCACATGAGCTCTTTCAGCCCTTCTGGTATTGAGAACACATTGGAACACCCATGTTGTTGTAATAACTCGTTCATATTTTTATGTGAGATTTCTGTTTTACTTGACGTTTACGCGGATTATTTGACAGACAAGATTGTGGCATGATGACAATGATGTGACAAAGAAAAAGATATAGTCTTAGTCAATATTCTCATGATTTTTCCGCTTTTTAGTGTCGCCACACACGGGCCACCGGCCACAATCACAAAACGCCGCCACCGGCATATTTCCTGTAGTTTTCATACAATTTATATGGACTCGCCGCACACGGTTAACGCAGGTGGTCGGAACACGCTACAAATCGTCTTTGCTCACTTCTTGTGGCTCGCACCGACCACTAATGCACCGATACAAAACGCCGCCACACGCCGCTCTCGCGATTCCCTACCTTCAAACCTTCTTCGTCCATTATGATACTGCACGCATATGAAAAAAAAATTCAACAAAAAATAAAACCGATTTCAAAATCTTATTTTTTTTTATTTCATCCATTTTAGTGAAAATTCATCGTCCAAGTAAACAATAACACAATTGACGGAGAAATCGGTGAACATGCATAAAAAGTATCGTGCGTGCCTTTGAAATTGGAAGGTTTCCCTCGATTTCCCCGGATCCCACCATCAGATCCTGACTTGGTTCCAATGGGACCACCTCGGAAGTGCACTCTTTCGAATAAAAAAATAAAAAGTAGCAGCCACCGATGGCAAGTGTCGGCCACCGGCCACAAGTGGCTATCACGCGCTTCTGCTACCTTTGTAGCCGCTTCTAGCTTCTCGTGGCGGCGTTTGTGGCTGTCGCGTGTGGCCCGTGTGCGGCGACCCTTACCCCTCGTTTCCACCAAGAAACAAGAAAAAAATATACTTTTTTTTAAACAAAACTTGTAGAATACTTGTTGTGGCTGTTTGAAACATTATTTCGTTTACACTGCATAGACAACCGTATCCTACAAGTATAAATCAATAGGGATGATGACTAATTTTTTTTTCTTCGTTTTTCAGGTAGATTATCAAAAATTTGGATCCGTATTTTTTCTTTTTTCACATAATATAAACATTGCAGAGATATATTCATTTGAAAAGTCGCATGACGTCACGTTTGAGTACACTTTTAAGTGAAAATTCACTAAAAAGTGTCGTCACGAGCCCCTACCCCCAAACTTTGACGCGCTATAACTTTGTCATTTTTTGGTTGATTGCCCAAAGAAAAAATACGTGTCCATATTTTTTGATCATCTAACTGACGGACTAAATAAAATTTCGTTTACTGTACCCCGTCATCACCCCTATTATATACTTCACATATGTTGTTTATCCAACAAGTTTGGTGCAAGTATTAATACTACTTGTTTATACATGTTTATAAGTGTGAATAAAAAAAACAAGACATTGTATAAAATTTGTAAACTACCTTGGAGTAAATGAGGGGTTGTACAGACAGGAATATCTCTGGTAAGATTCCAGGCCCGCCAGACTTATTTTACGGAGGTGTGTCGGCGACATCTATATGCCCCACATATAACCAATGGATGAAGGAAATAATCACTCACCATCTTAGAGAGATGGCGCTACCGGCGTTGCGATCGATAAGTATGGAAGCCTACATCGCGCAAGATAAATTCGGAGGCAAACACTTATATACAATGCCCGACCAACATCAGTCGGGCTGCGGCCCCCGAGCTTCCATCACCCAGCTCGGAGGAAGATCTTCCCCTTTGGCCTTCCCACAGAGGGATACTGTTGAACAGTGGAAGGCCGCTCAGGATTTTGAGTATGTACCATAAATATTATGCTTGCTTATGAAACACCTACCTGACGAAGCTTCGGATAGATTTGGGACTAAAATGGGCTTAATTAGCGCTCGAAATTTGAACTAAGTACGCTCCTTCAGCTGTACATACAAATTTATCGTTTTCTACTACCTGCTTAAGCGTGTTAAATTATCGCCAGTCGCCATTCAAGCTATCGTCTAGCCTCTAAAGGTGCTGTCCGACAATCTGTGTTGATGAGTCGGTTTCTACTATTTAGGTAATTATAGGAGCTCGAGGACGCAGGTGGTTAGCGCGTTCGGTTGCGATCGTTGGAGTTAAGCAACTTTCGCAGTGGTCGGTCATTGGATGGGTGACCAAAAATCTTCTATCTCGAGTTCCTCCGTGCTTCGGAAGGCACGTTAAGCCGTTGGTCCTGCAAGCACCCACCAATCCGCACTGGGCCCGCGAGGTGGGTCATGGCCCAATCTCCCTATTCCATCCATAGGGAAGACTTGTCCCTCAGCAGTGTGTACACACATTCAATTTTTATCCATTGTTGTGCAGCATTCAAAATATATCGTCAATACAAAAAGTAACCGTATGTTCCTCATTCAAACATTGTTAAGATTGGTGTGTAATTAAAGAATTTGATTAGGTACATTACCTTAGAAAGCTCATAATTTATTTGATCACTTAGTTCTACATTGCAGTAACATTTTCATAATTTTGACCATTTGGTAAATGTAACGTTCGTGATAAGTGAAATGTCAAGGGCAAATCAAGTAGGTTTGATAAAAGTGCATTTAATATTCGTTTTTATTTCATTTTAAATTAAAAAAAGTTTAGTCGTGATTGGTGGTAACTTACCTGCTGATTTGAGACGGATTATTGATTCATACTAGAGATATTTAAACGGACTAGCTGACCCAGCGAACTTCGTACCGCCATAAAAATAGGGGCAGGTGGTAAAAGAGAAAATTTAGGGTTGTATGTATTTTTTAATACCACATTATAAAAAAAAAATACTGTCCATAAAAATTTTTAGGGGTATGTAACGTAGTGTTCTATCAATTTCCTGGGATAGCATTCAGAGAAGACTACGTTACAATACCCAATAGTTTGAATTTTGGCGCGAAGGCGCATTGTAGGTTTCAGAACACTGCGTTGCAGATGGACAACCATTATCACTTAAGGATATGAAAAATAGATAGTAGCCGATTCTCAGACCCACGGAATATGCATACAAAATTTCATAAAAATCGGTCAGGCCGTTTCCGAGGAGTATGGTCACTAACATTGTGATAGGAGAATTTTATATATAAGATTATTATTTAATACTAGCATTAATTTGAAGAAAAAGATTATAGTGGGCTACCCTTAAAAGATAGACATAAGCTGTCGCGGACACTTTATATAAATAATAATAAATAAATAAATATTTTCAACACTCACACCAATTAGCCTAGCCCCAAAGTAAGCACTATAAGGCTTGTGTTATGGGATATAGTGCGATTCAAATAAGAATAGGAGAGCCAAATGACCTCCACCTGTCAAATGTGGCTTGAAAAGTACGGTTTGCAAAAAATCTTGGAACCGTTTTTTAGCACTCAGTTAATTCTAGAATAAAAACCAAACATTTGTAAACAAACAATAACAAATATTGATAATTAATATTGGTTGATATTTTTTCATTTATTGAGCTTTGTCTAGGAATGGTTAATAACCTAAATCGTCAACCAAATGTCACTTTAAGTTGCGTTCATAAACTCGATTTAAAACTTTAGTTTACATTAAAGGGATGCATGTTCGTATGTGACCTAGTAATAGTTCATGATTATTCATTACTACACCGGGGGGGTAATGCAGAGATGAGCGGAATCGAATAGCTACATTCTGATTAAAGTTTTATCTCACACAGTCTTAATAAATACATATGTATTATTAAAATTTGGTTGTTTTTTTCTGTCTTAGTAAACTAAAGTTTATTAATAACAATCTGATGTATTTTTCACTTATACTTAGTAAATAAGTTTTATTAAATAACAACTTTTTTTGTTCACTCTATCTATTTGGTTTGAATTGACAGCTATGACGTCACAATATGGCGCCCAGTCGGTCCTATTCGTAGCTGAATCGCATTATACTAGGGTAACGGATAGAATACATATACTGTACATATATAATTATATTTTTATAGAAATACATATAAAACATCCATGACTGGAGTACAAATGCTCGTATTCATCACTCAAAGATCTGCCCCCACCGGAATTTGAATCCTGGACCTCTCGAGTCGGCGACACCATGAAACCCGGCGTACAAACCACTCGGCCACGGAGGTCGTCAAATATCTTTTAAAGGAGAACTATTCGGTCATTCATATTTTTTGTGTTTTACCGCTTAGGCAGCGCAATCAACTGAAGCTCACAAAAAATTATGGATTACTTTCTGGCCGCTTTTTCATAGTTTTAATTGGTACTCCGCTCCTATTAATCGTACCCTTGCAAAGAAAAACATCGTACCGGCAAGATGAGGGTGGTTGTTGTAGCAGTTTATAACTGTTGTACCAGCTATCTTCGCGTTTGGACTTTATCATCACTTAACATCAGGTGGGGTAGTCATTTGCCTACCTCGCTATAAAAAAAATCAAGTTTCAGTAACTTTACATTTACTAGGATAAATAATCACTTGTGTTACAATAGCGATCTTCAATCATTTGCCTGCAGAAATTAAAGCACACAATTTGCCACTGTTTAAATTTAAGTTAAAAAGCTGGTTATAAAAAAATGTTTTCTATAGTCTTGATGAATATTATACTTGTAAAACTTAATATAATTTAGGCTCTAAAATGTACTTTTTAAATTTTTAAAAATGGTAAACAATGGTACATTTTAGAGCGCCCGTTGTGGGCACACTCTTGTGACCTTTTTTATTATTGCAATTCCAACTGCAAAATTGTACAGTTTCTATTTAAGCAATAAAGTTATTATTATTATTATTACAGACGTGCATGACAAAAAGATCATGGAGATTTTTTATAAGTCCTAAATATAAACAATCTTGCATACAATAAATAAGGAAGTTTCTTTGTGTGACAATATTCTGTGAGTTTTGGTGTATTTTGTATATTTTTTATGAGATTTTGATCATGTAGGCATTATGGGATTTGAGGGTATGTAATAACTATACCATTGAGAGTTAGTCACTGTTTTCACAAAGGAACTCAATAACATATTTACGTTGTTTTAATAATAACTACTGATATCTAAATATTATGACTTCCTTCTTGACTCATTCAACCAAAAAACACACCAAAGTCAAGCAACAATACCAATGATCCAGTCAAAGCAAAATATATTAAATCATTTTAGAAATTGTAGTGCTAAATAATAATTTAATAATAGAACCACCTACATAATTTGTGATAAACAGGCATATGATACAAGTAAATGTCCACACTACCTCCTTTTAACATTTAAAGTCTTTGTCCACAAACCAAAATAGGTAGACTCCCAGCAGCGCACAAAATCTACAAAGATCCGGGTCTTATTAAAATAGTCTCTGTCATATACATTACAAAATTCTTATTCAATTATGAACCTTAAATCTTTAGCCGTTAAGCAGGTTACGACAACTTCGTATGCAGTCTTTGTTCTCATAATATTTTACTGATTATTTTGCCTTGCCTCATTCACGCGACCAGCATGTCACAGTCCAGACGCGAAATATTGTAACCGATACTAAATAGTGTGCCACGGAAAATAAATAATGATAAAAATAACACACACGCGGACGTAAAATATCTTTATTGTGATAAAGTTAAGTGATAAGCGCGGCGGTGTAAATAAAGATTTCCTTCCGAAACCTTAGTATTGTGTATTAAAAAGTGAATATCAACCATGGAAGTGACTACAGCGAAAGCTATCTCGATGTTGACTTTGGGATTGGGGAGTTTCATAGCTGGAATGATGCCAGCATGCTTCTCGGAGAGGACGAGGCAGAGACATCCTCTGTTCATCTCCTGCTTGCTCTGCTTCGGCGGGGGAGTGCTGTTATCCACTTCTCTGACGCACATGCTGCCTGAAGCGCGTGAAAACTTGCCCAACTTCTCCGAGCTGACGTTCTGTATTGGATTCTTTTTGGTTTACCTGGTGGATGAGTTTGTGCATTTGTTTTACGGGCCTGGCAATGACCCTCACAGGCACACTTATGGAAGTAATGAAGGCACGAGCCTCTTGTTTCATGAGAGAAGTGGAAGGCAGGATGACGAGATGCTGGATAGATGTTGTGGTGACGCGGGCAGTCCCAGGATGTGTCACGTGAGCCACACAGCTCCTTGTAACAAAAGCTCGTCGGGCGTGATTGGACTGCTTTGTGCACTGTTTGTGCATAGCGTATTGGAAGGACTGGCGATTGGACTGCAGGAAGAAGCTTCGCAGGTTTGTTAACTTTTTTTGTTAGGTACTTCTAAATAAAGCACCAGTCAGATTTTGGCGAGCCATCATAGTGCGTGACTTTATCAAATGGGTAGACAATAGAAGATTTTTATCCCCTGGTCCTGTGTAAATGGCAGATTTCTGCCAACGTCAAAACTTGAAACCCCTGTCTGTAGAGATGGCAAAGAAGGATGGTCAAATCGTCCCTGATGAGGAAACGATGCCGTCCCAATATGCCATATATATCAAAAAATCCGTTATTTCTAAAGGTTTTAGAAAATATAAGCAAAATATTCATATTCTCCCACATTAAAAAGATATACCTTTTTTGTGTTTTGGTTATTTATTTGAAATTATTTGGAATAACATGTTCAGAACGCAACCATTGACGATTAATTTCGCACATGAAATGATTTAATATTCATAGACTATATATAAATTATTTCTTTTTCTAAATAATTGTAATAGAAAATTATATGTACCTACCTTATTTATCTTATTACCTAAATTCTTTCGTTGCTCATAAATTAAAACGTTACATATCTGTTACAGTAAATTATTTTATTGAATAAATACATTTTCCGAATGGAAAATCAAACGAAAATGAGCTGACAGGCTGTTAAATCTTATTTAGCTGTTTTGATTGGTGGAAGGCAAAGAACTTTAGTCCATACAGCCTTAGGAAAGTCGTTTCATATCGTGCTGCGTTCCATTCTACGCACAAAACTGAAAGAAAACACACGCTTTGTTTTTCGATTTAATTGAAAGTTTTGTTAAAAGCCCCTAAAAGAACCCCCAAAAAATTCCAGCCCCTAAAAAGTCCCTTTTAACACTTCTAGCCCCTAAATCTGGGGGCAAAACCCCTAAGTTGGGAACCCCGGATCACTGTTACTGTGTGTCAGTCAATCGATGGCGTCGATCGATGACATAATTATAACGTTCCGTTATATGCACAAACCGAGCAATTGAACAAAAAGCTCGTACTCAATTTGTACTTACTTAATTACTTTTATGATAAAAGTTCTTTAAATACCTAATAACACTACTTGATCAGATGCCTAACTATTAATTGAATTACTAACCGTAATTCATAATCTTAAACAATACCTATTTGAAATGATTTTGTATTGACACTGTTACAATACAATATTTTGTAAATATTGTTACATAATTATTTAGCGCTGCGTAGTTTTTTCGGCAGTTTTTCTACTCGACTAAAAATATCCTTAATTCGTGGTAGGGAAAAAATCATCATCTTCATCATAGCCCATTAATGTCCCCACTGCTGAGGCACAGGCCTTCCCTATGGATGGAATAGGGAGATTGGGCCATGACCCACCACGCGGGCGCAGTGCGGATCGGTGGGTGCTAACGACTGCAGATGCTGCCGGGACCAACGGCTTAACGTGCCTTCCGAAGCACGGAGGAACTCGAGATAGAAGATTTTTGGTCACCCATCCAATGACCGACCGTTGCGAAAGTTGCTTAACTTCAACGATCGCAGCCGAACGCGCTAACCACTTGCGCCATCGAGCTCCTCGGGAAAAAATATGGACGATTATTCAAAAGAGTTGTACTGTGTATCCAATTTGAATAAAGATATTTTGACTTTTGGTTTTTGATCAATCTGTTTGAGAAGAGTAACGTACTTGTAATATCTAGTCGGGACGCAAGGGGGCCTGCACAACATCTTTCGGGTCCCAAGTCAACCTCCCCTGCAAGCGGTGCGTCCTGCTGTATAACAGACGAGGCCCTGGCGAAACCACCCACCAACCCGCACTGGACCAGCGTGGTGGGTTATGGTCCAAACCCTCCTAAATGATAAACGCAACATTGTCCCGGCCCCCAGTTCCCGGTAGCCCTGCTATTCCAGGCCAAGGCAGCGGTCTCGGTTACGGCAGGGCAGGGGGTGCTAAGAATCTCCGGGTTACGGTAGGCCGCCAAAAAACACTTAACTTGGCGACATATAACGGTCGCACGTTACGGCTCGACTCACATCTAGCTCAACTGGAGGAGGAGCTGAATCACATTAGATGGCACGTGCTCGGGCTGAGCGAAGTCCGCAGAGAGGGCGAGGACATGCTGACCTTAGAGTCTGGCCATCTGATGTACTTCAGAGAGGGAGATAATCCGTCACAGGGCGGCGTCGGGTTCCTGGTCAACAAAGTCCTCACTGACAACGTGATTGAAGTCTCCAGTGTGTCGACGAGGGTTGCGTACCTCATTATAAAACTAACCAAAAGGTATAGCCTAAAGGTTATACAAGTGTACGCTCCAACGTCGACATACTCGGATGATGTCGTGGAAGAGATGTACGAGGACGTCTCTCGAGCCTTACACACCACCACCAAGGCTCACTTTAACGTTGTCATGGGGGACTTCAACGCTAAAGTGGGAGTACAGACTTGCAGCGAATCGATGTTAGGATCATACGGCTATGGGAGTAGGAATCATAGGGGGCAAATGCTCGTCAATTTCTTGGAACGCGAGGGGCTTTTCTTAATGAATTCATTCTTTAAGAAACAGCCCCAGAGGAAGTGGACGTGGCGAAGCCCCGATGCTATGACCAAGAATGAGATTGACTTCATCATATCGGACAAGAAGCGCATATTCAGAGATGTCTCAGTGATCAACAGGTTTAAAACCGGAAGTGATCACCGACTTCTAAGAGGCACTCTGATTATCGATTTTAAGCTCGAACGCTCTCGATTGATGAAGTCAACGCTCCGGCCAAAGCTGCTCCAATCGGCCGTTGGTTCTGACGCATTTCAAATGAAACTGGAAAATCGATTCGCTGCCTTGGAAACCACAATTGACGTTGACATCGACGAGGAACTCGACCAAGTGGTAGAAATCCTTCGGGACGAGGGTGCGAAATTCTGTGAGCTGCGACGTAAGGGCAAACGGTCTAAGCTTTCGAAGGAGACTCTGGATCTAATGGACAAGCGGCGAAACGATCCACTAGTCACTTCGTCAGAACAACGGGCTCTGAATAAGTCCATCTCCAAGCTGATAAGACGTGACCTCCGACGCTCCAATTCACTCTTAATACAGAGAACAATTGAGCAGAACCGGGGGTCCAAAGTCTTCGTACAACAGCTTGGAAGGAGCCACCTGACGAAGTTGACCAAAACAAATGGAGAAGTCGTCACGTCGAAACCAGAGATTCTTTCGGAAGTTTATACCTATTATAGCCAGCTATACGCGTCGCACTCGCCCCACCCTACGCCGGATAAGAGCGATTCAAGAGCCACATTAACCCGCCATGTGACGGAGGATCTCCCCGACATCGGCCTAGAGGAGATCGAGGCGGCTCTTGGGCAACTCAAAAATGGAAAAGCCCCGGGGGAAGACGGAGTCACAACGGAGCTTCTGAAAGCTGCCGGCAAGCCGGTGCTGAAGGAGCTCAGGCGTATATTTAACTCTGTCCTTTTCTCCGGGAGAACTCCAAGGGCGTGGCACCGGAGCTTGGTCCTATTGTTCTTCAAGAAAGGCGACAAAACCTTACTGAAGAACTATCGACCAATTTCCCTCCTGAGCCATGTCTATAAGTTGTTCTCGAGAGTCATCTCGAATCGCCTTGCACGAAGACTTGACGAAGCTCAACCTGCAGAGCAGGCCGGGTTCCGACGGGGTTATGGCACCATAGACCACATTCACACAGTGAGACAGGTTATACAGAAGACCAAAGAGTATAACCAGCCCCTGTGCATGGCGTTTGTGGACTATGAGAAAGCTTTTGACTCCGTCGAGACCTGGTCTGTCCTTGAAGCGTTGCAGAGGTGCCAAGTTGATTGGCGATATATCGAGGTGCTGAGATGTCTATATAACGCCGCTAATATGTCCGTCGTGCTCCAGAATGGCCAGACCGAGCCTGTCCTACTGCGCCGTGGTGTGAGACAAGGAGATGTAATATCCCCGAAACTCTTCTCCGCTGCGCTGCAGGACGTGTTCGGAACGCTCAACTGGAAAAGACGCGGAATAAATATTAATGGCGAATACATCTCACACCTTCGATTCGCGGACGATATCGTCATCCTGGCTGAAACCCTGCAAGACCTACAGGAGATGGTGAGTAGCCTAGCTGAATCTTCTAAACGTATCGGTCTCCGGATGAACTTGGATAAAACCAAGGTCATGTTCAACGAACTCGTTGATCCGGGACTGGTTGCTGTTAATGGAGTACCTCTCGAAGTTGTTCAGGAATATGTCTATCTAGGACAAACGCTCCGATTAGGCAAAAACAACTTTGAGAGAGAAGCCAATAGAAGAATTCGGTTGGGCTGGGCAGCATTTCGTAGCCTTCGTTGGACAACTTCCTCTGGCAACACTGGCGCAACAGCTGTTTTTGAATTGTCCCAATAGTTTTATTTAATTTATTTAATAAATCTTATTAATTGTGCTCTTAAACCAATAATATCATTAAATAATGATTAATAACTAAGTGTTAATATATAAAAACGATTGCAAAGTGAGTGAAATTACTTAAAAACGTACTGTGACATTTACCGGCTTTATTGTGAGTCATTGTCATCTGTTTCCAAGATATTTTCATAATTCCAGTAAGTTATTTTTACAAGTTACCTTGACAATTACTTTATTCTATATCAATAAAGTGTGTAAAGCATCAAATAGTTAAAAACTGGCAATTTTTTTTTATAAAATACCTACATAACCTTGCTATTGTTGGTTAAATAAGTCCTGTTGTATTTAACAACATACATTCATTCAAGTTAAACTAAGATAATATCGTTAATATATAAATATGATGACTCGTAAGGCTCTGTCTCGTCAGGAGGAGTCTAAATTTCAACTGACTTTGAGAGAACTCAAAGCCTCTAAGGATTTATGCGACCAACTACACAAGGAACGGGATGACAATGAGAGGGAATTAATAGAAATTTTAGATAAAAATCAAAAGTTAAAGAGCGAAATGGCAGAACTGCACAAACAGTGTATTGATACTATTGAAGCTCGGGACAGGCTCCAGTTCATCGTAGATG